ATTGTAATACTTCTTAGAACGTATGCCTTAAAATCCCTACTCTGTAGGGTAGACCGGGATAGGGTTTGCATAACGTTTAACGATAATACTATAATATCTCAAAAGAGGATATTCAATTTGGCAGAGCCGATATACATTTAAAGTATATGCTTTATTAAAATTAGAAAATATGCGAGATGCCTTTACAAATGCTAAATACGTTATGCTTTTATATATACTATTTTCAAATTTGCTAATTTTATTGAATATGCTAAATCTTCTATGTCTACTACGTCTACTACTTCTACTTCATCTACTATATCTAATGTATCTTCCTGATCTACTAAATCTGCTAATATTACCCGATTTGGACATATACATTCTCAAACAAATATGTATCTGATCTGTTATAATCGTTGATTCTTTTTGCAGTCGTTACATTTTCCTCCACTTATTTTGTTTATTCCACGAACTTCAAATCCTCCAGGATCAAATATCTTCGAGGCCAATCGAAGCAGAGATAAGTACTGGGATATTCCTTTGTTCATGGTTTCTTGTACTACCTCTAATACTATTACTCTTTCCTTTGTTTTAGATTCATGTTCTAATACTGGAATCATTCTTTCGGGTGTCAATTTCGATATCTTTATAATGACTTTCTCTGTTGTATCTTTTTGTCATTAGTTACGTGATTTCGGGTGAGTTTCACTATGTTTGGCTTTTTCGTTTATTTATGCTTTAAACTTATCCATTTTTTTATTTCACTTATTGCCTGCTTCACAAAGATTTACAAAATCAATAACTATTCCAGGTCTTTCAGTCTTTTCATATATCCTTTCGATAGCCATATCATCTACTTCGGCACTATCAGTTCCATGGTATTCACTAGCTTTAGGTTTGTTTCTTTTGACTTCGATCCCATTCTGATATTGGCCTTCTGTGTGATTATGTCCATTGTAATATAAAAAGCTAGCCTTGCTAACTATACTATTTGACTTAACATGAAAAAGGTAAGGGTATGTGTTTACAAAAGGTAAAACTCAAATAAAACTCAAAGAAGACTCAAATATAACTCAAAGAAGAT